TTTCTTGCTGCCACCACCTCTCCCCATTGCTACCCCTCCCTCGTCTCAAAACATGAGTCAGAGGGGACTTATTTGCCCAGTGTCTACACCTGCACAACGTGCTCATGTAGCTATTAGGTATGTAATTCCGTGTTCTACTCTTACCTACAACACTCAAACACATGCTTGACATGCATACGCCCTCAACACCACACGCCCTCGACATCCACACGCTCTTGACATCCACACGCTCTCGAAACCCATATGCATCGACACCTACACACCCTCGACACTTACACACCCTCAACATGCACAGTATGTACGCAAGGCGCCATGCAAGAGGTGTATGCAAGATGCCACACAAGACACATTGTCTTCGATGTGCACCGCATGCAGGATGCCCTTGACACGCAGTGTTGTCAATGGGCGCGTGAACGTAGGATGTCCTCGACAGTTGCATGCACGCAGGATGGCCTCGTTGATGTGTTTCTGCTTATACACGATCTCAACCTCATCTACCCAGAGGCCTACATATGTATGTTCTTTCTATCTACATTCTTTTCATCTAACATCGGCATGTCCCACGGCACACATGCAGGATGCCCTCGATGGGTGTGCACACACTCCACATACAGCTTCGACGTGTGCATGCACACACAGACACACACAACCCCGATGCGTACACACACACAGAACGCCTTATGTGTATGTGATGCGTATGCATGCGCAGAATGCCTCAACGCGTATGTGACGCATATGCACGTGCTGAACGCGTTGCACTGCGTCGACATGCAGCCTCGCTCGACACACGTGTGCACAATCGACATGCATGCAGGACACGTCGATGTGCACCCTCGACACATGCCCTCGACACAAACACAGGAAGCCTTGCATAGCCTAGATGCGCACGCAGAATGCATCGTGCTGTGTCGACACACAACCTCAACACAGGTGCGAACCCAGGACAAATCACAGCATCAACATGTCCCCAGGATGGCTCGCGCTGCATCAGCATGTTCCCAGGACAGCTCGCTCTGCGTTGATGCGCAGCCTTGACACTTGACACAGGCACACACCAGGGACGAATCATAGCATCAATGCAGTATGAGGTGTCCCTAGGACGCCTTGCACTGCATTGACGTGCACTAGTGCACCCCCGACACACTAGGTAATTTAGATTTAGATTCAAGTCATGTAGTAGTTACAATTTTTAATATACAAATTGTTTAGCCAGAGGTGCCATTACCTACAGATCCACCAGTGACTTGACCCACAGGTCACTACAAGTTGACCTGTGCAGACCCACAGGTGACAAGGCAGGTAGTGCCAGGTACCTTTGGCAGGTACTTGCTTCATCAGATATCATACCTGGATCTGTGCAAACCTGTGCCATAAAAAAACCCAGATCCACAAGTCAGTTGACCTGTGGGTTTCCCACGGGTCAACCTGTTTAGACCCACAGGTTACCCAGACTCGTGCTCAGCCTTACTAGGTTGCGAGCAACCATAGTGATATCGTCCACATATAGGGCAATAATGGAGGCATTACCCCCACCACATGTGAACACTGCATGGTCCACTTTGGTATGTAGGTATCCCATTGTCCCGAGCTTCTCTCTAATCTCATCATACCAGACGCATCCCCCCTGCTTCATCCCGTAGACCGCCTTTATAAGACACAGGACCATGCCATCTGGGATATCGAATCCTGGGGGCGCTTCCATGAAGATCTCCTCGCGGAGTTCCCCGTTCAGGTAAGCGGATTTCACATCCATCTGGTGCAACTTGAGGTCACGCTCAGCAGCCAGGGCCATGATAGCATGCAACAAGGCGAGCTTGGCAACCGGGGTGAACATCTCATCGTAGTCAATGCCCTCGATCTGCGTGAAGCCCTGAGCAACAAGGCAAGCCTTGTACTTCAGAACTGTGCCATCCAGGCCCCGCTTGATGCAGAACACCCAGCAACTGCCAACGACTTTCCGGCCCTTCAGGCATGGGACAATGTCGTACACCCCCATGTTATCAAAAGTGCGCTTTTCAGCATCGCACACAAGTTCCCATTCAGCCGTGTCGGAACATGCCATAGCATTGGCATATGTACACAGGTCACCCTTGCTATTTGTCTTGGCCACACATGCATGCTCTTCTGAGCATTGCCGCCCATAGGAGCTTACTGAGAAGCGCGGATTGTCGTCACAGAGTGGCGTGCAAGTGGCGTGTTTAGGGCGTGGGATGTGAGTGGGAGGTGCGAAACGTTGAGCGGTGGTAGGAGGCGTGTTTGTGTTGCTGGAGGAGGGTGCTGACTGGGTATTTGCAGGGTTGCTTGGAGCGACAGGAGGAGCGACGGGTGGAGCAGGTGGAGTGATGGTGATGTGTGTTGGTTGGGTAGGTGGAAGGTTTTGGTTTGTTTGAGCTGGAGCTGATGTTCCTGGTCTAGTGTCAGTGATATTTTCTTCGAGGATGATGCGATCAAACGCTGGGCCCCCCTCATCGAAGATAACATCATGCAATACTAGGAACCGACGCGTTGGTCAGTGCACCAGGCGGTAAGCTGCTCTATCCCGGGCATTGCCCAGAAAAGTGCAAATTAGGCTCTTTGCCGCAAGCTTGGTGTGTTTGGCAGCAGGAACGTGAACAAAGGCTCGGCATCCGAAGACACGGAGGTGCAAGACATCAGGCTTGTTGCTGCTCCATGCTTCTTCAGAGTCATGTCCCTAAGAGTGCGGGTGGGCGAGACATTGTGAAGGAGAGCAGCGTATTGCAAAGTGTCGTGCCAGTAGGTTTCTGGAAGATCAGCACCAGTTAACATGGTTCAGACTTTGTCTAGGAGTGTCCGATTCATGCGCTCGGCTACTCCGTTGTGCTGGGGAGTGTCCGGCATGGTGAGTTCACGAGCGATACCTTTTCCATCTAACCACTGAATTAGCTCTTCGCTTATGTATTTGCCTCTGCCGTCGCTCCTCAAGACTTGTATGCGGTGGCCAGTATCAGCCTTGGCGCGCATGACAAAACCCTTAAGGTGGCGAGCGACTTCTGACTTCTTCTTCAAGCCTTGGATGAGGACCTTCCGTGATTTGTCGTCAATGAAGGTAACAAAATACTCGAAGCCTTCGATGGAGCATGTGGGCAACTTGCCGCATACATCGCTGAAGATACGACCGAGGACTGTGTCGGCACGAGACTTGGTCTCCTTGAGAATTTCGGCGCGTGATTGCTTGCCCTTGATGCAGGGTTCGCATTGCGCAGTGGGAGCGCCCCCTCCAGTTATCTCCATACCTTGGACCATACCCTTTCTGACCATGTGTTGCACAGCTTCGTCATTCAGGTGGCCAAGGCAGCAGTGCCAGGTTTGGGCGTCTGCCTTGGAGTTGTTGTTGTCTTGTGCGATCAAGGCCATGTTCATGCGAGGGACTAAGTTGCCTTTGGCAGGGAACTCATCAAGTTGAACCATAGCCACGCATGCGGACTCAGGTGTGAGGATGCGAATAGGCATAGGGTAGAGATTCCCGTGCTTGTTAGTCTTGCAGAATGTGGTGCCTTTAGGATCAAGCAACTGACAGCCTTTCTTAGTGAACCAGACAGAGACTCCACGATCGACAAGTTGTTGGACCGATAGGAGGTTGCCCCGTAATTTTGGAACGTACAGGATGTCTTGAAGGATGGTGCGATGCCACTTGCCCCCGGCTTTGGCCTGGACAGCGATGCGGCCAAGGCCGATCCCCTGAATGGTGTGGTCATCAGCAAGGATGACGTTTACCGGAGACAAAAGTGGCCTGAATTGAAAGAACCAGTTGCAATTTGAGCACATGGTTTGAGATGTGCCAGAGTCGAGGATCCACTGATTGCCGATAGTGTGGTGGTCTAGTGTGCTGACCATTGCAATGGCGGTGTTGGTGGAGGAGTAGTTTGTTTCAGTATCACTTTCCTCGTCCTCCTCTTCTGTGATGGCTATGTTTGCTGATGCTTTCTTGTGCTTAGACTTGGCCTTTGTGTCTTTCGGGCCAGATATTGCTGACTTGGCTTTGTCAAGAGCTCTCTTAAGTCGGCGGCACTCCGTGATGTCGTGGCCATCAATATCGCAATGCGTGCAGTGCTTGGATAGGTCGTGCAGATCATGTTTCTCGTGCTTGTTGTGTTTCTCCCCGCGTTCATGTTGAGGCCTTTTGCTTGCCCTGGCGAAGAATGCGGTTGCATTAGTGCCTGAGTCACCAATGCGGCGTTGCTCGTCGTTGAGTATGCGCTGCTTGATGTCGGCAGTTGTAACTGGAGTATTGGAGTCAAACAAGATTGTTTTGAGTGTTGAGAGTGTGGCAGGGAGTGTGTTGATAAGGGATACTGCAGCAAGATGGTCGTCAAAGGAGTGACCGAGGGAGTTGATAGTATGGATGTGGCGTAGCATGTCATCTATTTGGTTCTCGAGGGGCTCAGTGTTGTTGAGTTTGGTATTATATACCTTGCTCATCAGCTGCCCTACACGTTGGGTACCTTTGCCAGCATAGCGCTCAGAAAGTTTGTTCCAAGCGTCTTTGGCTGAGATGGTGTCCGCAACTGTGTTGAGGGGACCGCTGTCCTTGATGGTAAACTCTATTTGAGCATGGGCCTCTTCATTAATGGCGACCCAGTCGGCCAGAGTGCTAGCATCGGTACCATCGGGGTGAGCGTAGGTTCCATCGACCATGTTCCAGAGTTTACGAAGCTTAAGTAATCGGGCCAGCCGACATTGCCAAGCATCATAGTTGCTTCTGTCTTCTTCCAAAAAGGGGATGTCATATCGGCATTGCCCAGTAGTGGCCGGGGTCGCTGTCCCAGGAGGAGGGGCTTGGCCTCTACTCGGAGTGGCACTGCCTGCGACTGTGGCAGTGGCATTGCCTCCTTGGGATGAGGATGCAGCAGCATTGGTGCTCATGATGATGTGGGGGAGTGGAAAGAAGTGGAGCGGAAGGGTAGGAGTAAATGGTGTCAGGGGTCAGAGTCAGGTCTCACAATCTGTTGGAACTTGAAAAGTTCTGAGTGGACGAAAAGTGACCAGACTGGGATTTGAACCCAGGTTGTCTGGATATATACCAGGTGCTCTACCACTGAGCTACCTGACCTTGTGTTATGCTTGGACTTTGTGTGGCGCTATGAAGTGCCCAGAAAGAAGAGAATCGGGTGCTCTGCTGTTCTATGAACAGTGGGTCTCGATTTAACAAGAGTCTACTTCGTAGATCGTATCTCAAAGTCTGCAAGGTATGTTATGCAAAAGCTAGTTGCTGCAACTAGTTTGTTATGAGATGAGAGTTTAAGGTCTTGATTTAACGTGTATGGAAACACACGATGAAAGCGAGGGCTTTCAAGGGAATCAGGGGAGGGATTGTGGTTCTATACAAGAGACCAAGTCTGAGGCTACTTGGCCTGTATCTATGTCCTTATATACATGGTTGGGGGCTGTGCATTGACTGTGCATTGCATAGCAATGACTGTGCAATGCGTAGTACATTACTGCGGTAAACTACAGATTACTACAGAGCTACAGAACTGTGTACTATGGACTGTGGAACTGTGCAATGATCTGGGGTTGCTTTGCAGCACGAGAGAGAAGCATGGGAAAGGGTACCTTCCTATTAGAGACAGGGGGTGGCTGAGGCTGGGACTCAGACACTTGCTAAAATGACTAAGTCGCAAGTCATGTGGAGACTGCACATGATGTGTCACGTGAGGATACATGTGATGAGTGCATGTGATTAGGCGTCTATATGACTTGGCATCTAAAGAGTTGACTTAGAGGAAAAAGCAAATTGGGGCATCTAAACAGGGCGCTTAGGCGACTCTGTAACATTACCCCCTTGTTAGCGTCTCAAACCCTAATGTAGGTTTTGACATCATAACAGGTCAGACTTGTTGGTGTCGTGATGAATGTTACAATTACTTTATCTGGCGTGGGAACTTGTAGCCAGAAGGAGGAAGAAAAGTCACATGATGTAGCTTGTGATTTTTGTTTTCCTAAGTTGAGGCACATGATAAGGTTGTCTTTGTCACACTTTGATAATCAGATGTTGATGTGATCATCAAGGGTGATAGCAGCGATAAGATGTCTTCAGCGGTGATCTTATCTCTAAGCAATAATCGGAGATGCTAGACAACGATGGTGACATCAGTGGCTGCAGGTATTTCCAATAATCGTCTTCTTTGGTTTCTTCTTCTGGATGATGAATAATCATCTGCAGGAGACGGTGATGTCATTGAGGTACGTGACATCAGGGAAGGTTTGATCGGATCAACATTTGCAAAAGTACATAAATACTTTAATGTTGATGCGGCAATCATGATCGGGCTTCTAACGCGGTTCTAAGTGTAATTCAGGTACAAGGTATGAGATTTACGGTCTTAGATATTTAGCAATTTGAAATTTTCAAGTTGACTTCGTTCTGATAGAACTTAGGCACTCATTGAAAGTTTTTCAAATGCAACTTTAATTTCCTATAGAAGGGGCGAATTAAAGTCATGGGGCACGAGATATCAAACTGTAAGTACAAGTCCATAAGTATGAAACAAGAAACGAGACTTCTAATCAGAATTGAAATGAAACATAACTAAGGTTAGTGTACAAGCTAGCTAACTATAGTAAAAGTTCATACTTCTATTGTATGTATATAGGTACGAGTCAATATCAAACTGTAAATAAGTCTCTGAGTCATTACACGAGACTATGAAACGAGACAATTCTAGAAGTAAAACTAAAAAAGTTAAACTAAAAGAAAGTTCAAAGCTAATGTTATAGCGATGTAGATAGGTAAGAGTCGAGTCATAAGAGACAAAAGAGGTAAGAGAAACTATGGCTTATTTACATGATCAGAAAGAAATGATCAAAACATAATAGGAAAGGAAGGGGAAGGAAACTACATGTATCCTTGGTGCTTCCTGGTGGGCTTGCTGGGGCATGTTGCGTGGATGTGGCCAAACTTGTGGCACTTGTAGCACATGCAGCGGCGGCGGTTCTTGGAGTCGTGAGTGGCCAAGGCAAAGCCGGGCTTCTCTGGCAAAGGCAAGGGGCAGTTAGTGGATACTTCCCTCCAAGCCTTGTAGGCAGTCGGGTTCTCGCTAGGGAGGTAGATGTGGTTGGACCACGCAACCTGTGCCCTAAGGCGTTCGAAAGTGTCGGCGTCTTGGAGTTGTCTGAGGATCCCGAGGCATTTGAGGCGGTAGGTGCCGTAGTCGGTCATGGTGTCACGAAGGCGTCGCTCGCTCTCTCACTCGTGAAAGAGTGAGTAGCGGTATTGTACTATACCTGCTTTGAGCGATGGGTCGTTCTCGGACTCGAGCACTTCTTCAACCCAACTTGCAAAGGGTTCGTCTTGATCGAACAAGTGCATCTTGCGAGCACTGTAGTTGTTGGCGGTGTCGGTGGTCTTCTGTGGGACTAAGGGTTGAGCTTGGATTGGTTGGTCCTTGCCCATGGTGCCGAGGAGTCGGGGACAGTCGGGTGAGTAGTCGTACTGTACCCATGGTGCCTCAATGAGGTACCCATTGTGCTTGAGGAGAAAGGGCGGCCCTGTGGCGGTGGAGCGCAGGTTGGCGATCCAATTCTTGCCAGGGGGTTCGAGGGGTTCGAATCCAGCCTTGTATGATGGTGGTGACGAGGTGGCAGAAGAGGTGGCGGCGCCTGTCCAACTAGGTTGGGCGGCGATCTTTGCATCCCATTCTTGGATGGGGTTCTTCTCGTCATCCTGTGTGTTCAGCCAATCCATCAGAAAGTTATATGCATATGCAGTAACTCTCTTGGATAGGGTACTCACTCTGCCATGTCTGGAGGCGATTTCCACCTCATGTGCCTTCTGGAACTCTTCAAGTTCCACGTGTTCTGCTTTTTCCTCTGGATCCAGAAGTGGAAGGGGTATGGTTTGTCTCCGATTAAGGGAAGGAGGCAAGGAGGAAGAAGGGGGTGTAGAGTGGCAACTGTCCACATCGGACGAGTGAAGGGAGGAAGGAGGATGCTGTATGGTGTCAATGTCCATAGGGTATTGTAGGTGATTTACGCCCTCGAATAAAGTGGAGGCATAGCTTATGGGAGATGAAGGAGGTGTGGAAGGGTAGGAAGAGTAGTTAGCTGAGAAGTTGCTAACTGAGGAAGGTATGTTGGTACGGAGTGCGGAAAGGGAAAACATTCTAGTATTGGTAGTGGTAGCAACAGAAGGAGTGTTTACAGTAAAACCAATGTGAACTTGTGTGCTGCTGGTCGGACTCTTCAGCTTGCTGCTTGGTGTACTGGTGGAAACGTCGGCGGGCCTTGCAGTCTTCTGCTGCTTCTAGAGCGTCTTGTAGTTGGGCAACAGTGAAAGGAGATGAGACAACAGTGGAATAGAGGATGCAAGGGTCTGTAGTTGAGAAGGAAACCATGTATCAGCAGACTGATGAGGACTTTGCAGAATCTTGGGCTGTCTTTTATATGTTTGAGAGACTGCAGTAGAGGCTGCAGATTTCTTAGAGTCCAGGTATTCTTTGAGTATCTCGGGTGCGTGCATATCCTTTGTGCTAACCCACGAGTTCTCAGAGGATGGGTATCCTTTCCACTTGATTAGGTATTGCTGACTGCGGCACAGTCCATACTTTTGATCAGAAATGATCTCTTCTACTTCATATTCTTCTTCTCCTTCTATCAGATCAGGGGGAGGCTGTGGAAATGCTTCTCCATATGTCTGATTTTGGTTAAATGGGATCAGGAGGTCGACATGAAATACATCATGTATCCTGAAGTGTTGCAGAAGTTTTAGTCTGTATGCAACTGCAGAGACTTTCTCAGTAATTTGAAAGGGTCTGTATCTCTTTGGAGCAAGTTTCTTTGATGGAACCTTGGTCTTAAGATTGTGTGTGTCTAACCAAACTTTCTGATTGACCTGAAGAGTGTGCAGTTCTCTATTGCTTTTGGTGCATTTCTCAAGCATCAGTTGTGCATCAGAACGTGCTCTTGAGAGTTCTTTCAATCTAGCTTCCGCAGTGGGAGTTGAATCATCAAGGGGCATCAGTTTTGCTGATGGAATGCTGCCTGTGATGAGTTCATGTGGCGAGTATTTCGTCTTCTCATGTTTCCATGAATTATGTGCGAATTCAGCTAGAGGAAGTAGGGCACTCCAATTGTCTTGGCATCCATTCACAAAGCTGCATAGGTAGGTCTCTACCCATTGATTCATTCGCTCTGTCTGTCCGTCTGTACAAGGGTGGAACACTGTACTCAGGTTCTGCTGTATGCCTGTGGCTTTGCATACTGCTCTCGTAAAGTGTGCTGTAAATCTGGGATCTCGATCGGATATGATGTGCTTCGGTATTCCAAATAAGGGGAACAGGTGTTTGAAATACAGAATTGCTGTGCCTTTGCCATCTATGGTCTTATTATACAGGATGAACTTTGCTGCTTTGGAACATCCTTGATCCACTATGGTGAGAATGGCATCATATTTTCCTGACTTGGGAAGATCAGTGATGAGATCCATTGAAACATATTTGAAGGGTCCTTCTGATGCATGCATATCAAAGGGCTGTAAAGGGGCGCGTTTCAGGGTTGTCTTTGGTTTTGCTTCTTGACAATTTGCACATCCCTTAACATATTGTTCAACAAATTTGTGCAGTAGGGGTCCTTCATAGTTTCGGTTTACAAGGTACCATGTATTGGAAATGCCGGGATGGCCTCCAATTGGGGTGTCATGGATTTCTCTTAGAATATTTCTATGTGTTTCATCGTCATCTTCTAGGTAAATCTTCTTTGATGTGCCTGTTTTGCACACAAAAAGATGATCTGGAAGGATTTGAATGGAATTGTTGACATCCACCCCCTTGTTAAGGTCGCTTCTTCTGCTAAGAAGATCGGCTACCATATTGGTATGACCGGGGAGGTGTTCCAATTCAAAATTGTAGTCTTCTAGAAATTCGTACCATCTTGCCTGTCTGGGCATGATTTTTCTAGATGATTTGAAATATTTCAGATTCTCGTGATCTGATCTTATCAGTATCTTGTGTTTGGCACCTAGTAATAGGTGTCTAAACGCTTGGACTGCTCTAATGATTGCTAATAATTCTTTGTCAGCAATTTGGTAATTTTGTTCTGCTGGCAAAAGTGATT